CTGTGAGAGAGCTGAAAATCGCTGGCTTTCTGTGAACTCACGCCCAGCTTCAGGGCCCGAGGCCTGCCCTGGGACATGGCATCTCCCCACCCTGCTCGACCTTCCATCTCTCTGGAAATCCTGTTGTCCCTTGTCCCCCAGGAGAAGAAACTCTGCTCCTCAGGGAGTCACTCCTTAGCTGGAGTGACAGGACAGGTTTGTTCTCCTCACAAAGACAGGCCACATGGTTCACAGTTCAGAAGCTAACATGGGGGCTGGAGGGGTGAAGCAGATACAACAGGATCCTGCAGTAAAGGGAGCTTTCCTGTGTTCCAGGTAAAGAGAAAAGTATTTCAAATTTATAGACCGGAAGGCACCCACAATGGATGCCCTACCCCTTCCTCTGTTCCTGAGTTCAAGGCTGTTGTGATCTACAAAGGCCCTGACATGATGCCTGATGTGTGACCGACTTCTATGTGACAGTGGCAATCAGGGAACCCTTCCCCCCTCCTCATCCCCTCGGACTAGCGGCTTTGCAGGAACAGAAATGGGAAAAGCCGGGACCCTTAGAGAAGCCAAGAACTTCACAGGGCAGACTCGCAGGCAGAGTCTGCCTCTGACACCCTCCACCCCCCACCCCTGTACAACATCTCGCTTTCGTTTGCTAGTAACCACACTGCCTTCGTTTCCGTAATACGTTCCTGCTCCCTCCACCCCTCCCTGCCTTCCTCCCTCACTTTCACCTCCGCTTCCAGAGACCTATATGGCCTAACAAGCATCCTCTTTGGGGAAATATGAATAGGTCTTTCTGAGGTAGATGTTGAGCCATTTATGCTCTAGTTGGTGTTATGCCAGGCAGCTCCCTCTCTCCCAGCATCTCTGGGAGATCAACTACACTAAGGGAAAGGAGCATGTGGCACTCAGGTATAGGGGGCCAGCTGAAAATGGGGTGTTTGAGGGGAGGCACTTGGTCAGCGTGTGGCTGCTGGGGAAAGGGATACCAAGAGGGGGTGGACATTATAGGAAAGAGGCCAGAATGGTATCAAACTGTGGCCTCCTGGGTCCAGCTCCTTACCAGGAAGGGGAGGGAGATGCTTCCCATCCCTTTGGCCTCCTCCTGTTTCTGACCATGGTACCTCTTCTGCCGGAGCACAGGCTCTGACGCTCAGTCCGTCTTTGTTCAGCCCCAACTCGTTCCCATGCTCTTTACATCCGCCATTTTTCATAGTAAGAGCTCATCTCAGGAGAACAAGGCTGAGACTCAGATCTTTACTCTTTTTTTTTAGTTTATTATTTTGAGACTGAGTGTGTGTGCAGGGGAGAGGCAGAGAAGGAGAAAGAGAATCCCAAGCAAGTTTCACGCTGTCAGTGCAGAGTGAGTTGTGGGGCTCAATCTCATGAACCATGAGATCATGACCTAAGCCAAAATCGAGAGTCAATGCCTAACTAAGCCATCCAGGCACCCTGAGAAAGAACTTTACTCTTAAAGAAAGGCTCAGTTACATTCTTTGGTTAATTCCCAATTAGACAGAATATTAAAATATCAGGAGTACTCCGCTTCTGAGTATCCTTGTTAATTTTCAGACATGGAATGTTCATCTCTATAACGCTTTTAAAATCAACAAAATAAATGCCACATCATCCCCACTAATTTGCCATCATCAGATTATTAAAGCAGCCAAAATTAATACTTAGTTTCAGCATTAAATCTGTAATGCTTTCTCCCATGAGTCAACTACTGGTAAAGAGATTTTCTGCTCAGTAGAACTTTCTCCTGCCAAGAGAAAATGTTGAGTAAATACTCTTGAAATCATCCACCTGCTGGTCTAGCAGACCCTCACTGAAAGAAAGGAACAAGGGACTCCAGTCCAATCAACTGCTATCTATAGTTACAAACTCCGGGGGCAGCTAGGACTGAGGTCTCCGCAGAGGCATCACCTCACAGCAGAATCCCAGCTTCGGTCTGGCAACCACCTAGGCTCTGAGCGAAGTAAATCTTGAAGATAAATGAAATGTACTTGTTCTCAGACCTACCACTTCCTTAAGTCGACAAGGTTCAATAAACTACATTTCGCAAGTGTTGGCTTCTCTGCTTTCTAAAACAGATCACATGGAGTGCACTTGAATCATTTCTTGAGATCCCCAACAAACTTCGGGTGTTCCCAGAGCTCTCATGGTGTGCAGAGCCACACATCCGGCACACAGGAGCCCAGTCTTCTGTACCTGTGACCACTCTGTTTCCATAGTGCTCCCGTCCTTTTAATATGTCCCTGTGCTTCCGGGGTGCCTGTTGGTCAGCCTAGCATAGGCAACAGGTGCATAAACATGAGCCTCAAAGCTGTCCGTAAGTTAAAATGATTCCCACTTAATGAGCACTGACTACGTGTTAGGCGTGTCTTCAGTTGTTGGTATGCATTAACTCATTTACTCCTGACAGTAACCCCATAAAGGAGGCCCTAGCATTATGCTCCCCTTTTTCAGATGAGGAAACTGAGGTCAACCCTGTGAGGTGCGCAGCTAGAAGGGAGCAGAGCCAGGCAACCTCCAACCTCTGGCGCCTTGCCCTCTCTGCACAGGCTGATCATGGCTCCTCTGCGAGTTCTGGAGTGCTGTCCTCACAGATGATTCTTTGGAAGCACCTGGCACTCACGTCACAGCGTGAGAAAAATGAATTCAAGGGCTGATTCTTGGGAAAAGGTATTCATCACCAGCTGGTCTAATCAAGAAACGAGGGAGGTAGCACAAATACAAAATTGGAGGTAATAAAGGGGAAATGACCAAATACAGAGGAAAGGCAAAGAAGTAAAGGATTATGTTTTATCTTTTCGCTCGTATGTCTTTGCACCGCACAATACACACGAGATCTCTGAGTGGAAATGTCAAGCCGACCACTGTGTTACGTGGGACATAATCTACTCTGGCAAATGTGCGCCTGTCATGTGTCGCCGTGAGGTCATCTCTGGCAGGCGTTTCCTTGGGAGTCCCATGTTCCCGGAAGAGGAAGATACCACTTTTCCCTCTGCTAGAGCAAGGGTTAGTGGTCCAAATCCAGTTTGCCCCCTTGTATTTGTAAATAAAGTTTTCTTGGCACACAGCCACGCTCATTCACGTATGTATTCTCTGGAAGCTTTTGTGCCTCATCAACAGAGCTAACTAGCAGAGATAGAGACCATATGGCCCCCGAAGCCTAAAATACTTACCATCTTGTCCTTTAGAGAGTAAGTTTGCTGACCCCTATGCTGGAGCCCTATGATTTTTCCAGTTACAGGCCAGTTCCTAGTTAATTTCTTGGTTCAGAATTTTCCAGACCAACTAGGTGATGCAGATTCAGGCCTCACCCCTGCGCAGGCCCCATGTACGGTGTCTCAGTTCCAGATCCCATCTCTCCAGTCATTGGATGGTCCGGGGACCAGGACAATTGCTCTTCTCTCCCTTGTTGGGATTCTTGACTGTATTAGTTTTCTTTTGCCACATAACAAATTATAACCGCTTAAACCCCACTTATCAACTCGGTCTGGTAGGTCAGAAGTCTAGCACGGTAAGGCTGGCTTCTCTGCTCAAGCGAAAGTCACGCTGTCGGCCTGCTACGTTCTCATCTGGAGCATGGGGAAATTTTCCAAGCTCATTTCTCTTATTAGCAGAATTCAGTTCCTTGCAGTTTTAGGACTGAAGTCCCCATTTGCTTGCTGGCTACTGGCCAGGGGTCTCTCTTGGCTCTCCCAGGCCCCTCACAGGTCCTTAACACCATAGTTCCTTCCGTCGCACCAATAGAGAACCTCCATGTCAACTCCCCCTTATGCTCTGAACGTCCCTGGTTGCGTTTTCTGCTACCAACTAAAGAAAACTCTGCTTTTCAAGGGCTAAAATGATTAGGTTAAACCCAAGGGATAGTCTCCCTTTCTTAAAGCCAACTGCGGTCTATCACATAACCTCATCACAGGAGTAATAGCTCATCATATCTGCAAGTTCCACCCACACTCACAGGGGAAGATTAGACAAAGGTGAAGGGCGTTTAGTGTCACCCTAGAATTCTGCCCCTCACAGAAGAATTTGGAGGTCTGTAGCAAGCTGCATTCCAGCTTTCTACCACACCAGTCCGCGGGCCTCATCACCAGTCCTCAGGCTTACACAACTTCAGCCCTTATGGACTATTCTTTTTGTTTCTAATTCCCTCACGGTCCACTCAGCTTCAGTGCCTACTCGACTGTTCTGGTTTCTGGTTCCTTCTTCATTTTCCATACGTGAGGTTTTCCTTTTCTTGCTTTCAAGATTGGCATATACTTAAAAATGTTTTCATTGTATTATAACCAGTAGGTTTATCTGTTTGGAATGGTAGGGTTTCTTCCTTTAGTAGCATGTCAGCCATGTTTCCTAGAGTTTTAATGTTGTAAATATGTTTTTTGTTTTTTAAAAAAATGTTTTAATGTTTATTTTATTTTTGAGAGAGAGAGAGAGTATGTGAGCAGGGGAGTGGCAGAGAGAGAGGGAGACAAGAATCTGAAGCAGACTCCAGGCTCTCAGCTGTCAGCACAGAGCCCGATACAGGGCTCGAACTCACGAACTGCAAGACCATGACCTGAGCCAAAGTTGGACGCTTAACCAGCTGAGCCACCCAGGCACCCTAGATGTTGTAAAACTATGTTCTAAGATAATAGAGTCTATTAAGAAAAAAGGAGCCCTTGGAGCCCTAACCTCAATGAGCAGCCCCCAGAGTTAGAGGAAGAATTAATGGTTAACCTGAAAACTCACCAGTGCCTTCAAGTCTGGGGAACATTTTCCCCACCTGCATTAATGTTGCTTCCATATTGCAACATTCAGCTAAAATGTATGAAAACCAAGGAAAGTAAATTGCTGTATCCTTCTGAGACCTAAATTTCTGAAAAACGGTCCAATTAACTAGGTCCTCTTGTCTAAATACTTATTATTTTCAAATAGTTCACCACCACTAAAAGCATATTTATTCTGTTTCCATTTCAAATCTGCAAGCAATCTTCAAATGTTGTTACCATGTTCTTCTTCAGATGTGGCCGAGCAGCATTTTCAAGAGAGCATGGCTAATCTTAAGGATGCCGAAGGGACGGGAAAAGCCAAATTTCTTTCCATTCAAGATGATTATTGCCATTTTCTACAAGTCACTGGACAAAAAGAGGTATGTGTGTTTGGACCTGAGTTTGACTAGTTATTTGCATGAGTTGATATGCAGGGGGCTACTCCTTCACTCTACAAGCATCTATCTAGCATCTACTATGGGCAAGGTGTGTGCCAGGCTCCGATAGGGACAGAGGTAAATAAAGCCAGGTGGCCACCATCAGGCAGCTCCTGGATACTCAAACTTGGCAAATGAAAACTATTTATGAGAATATAGGTGCCATGTTCCTCCAACTCCCCACAAAGGATCCTAAAGGACAGGAAACCTTGAAAACCCAGTGGGCAGACTCTGCTTATCACAGCCTGCAGTTCCGGCTGGGAGAGAGGATATGGTGGTAAGTGTGCCTAATTCCTCTCTCCTAATTTTGGGTTATTCATGGAATTTATATACCTAACGAGAGCTACACAGCACAGATGTTACAGCCCATGGTCCATTGAACCATACAAGCATGCTTTCTTATGGCTTGTAAAAATAGAACAAGACCTAGAGTTTATATGCACTGGTAATTAAACCCTTGGGAAGTTATTCCTTGCAAAGCCTAACAGCTACCAGGAAGCCACTTGCTGTGGCTTTATGTATATAGCTCTATATTTTTTTCAGTTTCAACCTATCAAGGCAAGTCCTTGGGATGAAAAGCTTTTATTTCCTCTGCCATTCTGTAGACCTTCCCCACAGCTATGTCCTTAACCCCTCCCACTCTTCTCTCAATTGATGTGAGCTTAAGAAACACACACAGGTTTTTAATCTAGATGCACCCATGTTCCTCAGGCCAAAGTAGGACTACAGTAACCATAACTAATGGAGTTTTCATATTTTTCTGGATCACCCAACTTAGTAGAAAAGGGCCTTCCAGGGGCCTCAGATTCTAGAATATCTGTAGAAGTTCCACGGAGAGTGCTCAGGTCAGAAGTCTGACCATCTCCCCTGTTCCTGCCTGGCTTCCTGCCCTGGTGTCTGTCACTGGTGCCACACCTCACCACCCTTGCCCCAGTAACCCAAATCAGTGGTATTGGTCTAAAGAAGCACCTCGCTCCCTTCAGCCGCCCTTGGAGATTTCGGCAACCTGGCTCTTTTCATTCTACCCCCTGCCAGCCCTTCTGGTGCCCTTGTAAGAACAGAAAAAGCTGCCTCTTCCTCGTGGGCATGCAGCCCGTGCCAGAGCACATTGCTTGGAGAGCGGAACGCAGGCTGGATTTCAGCTGCCTTCATTCTCCTGCCTTTGTGCATGATGCAATCCATCTGACCAAACATGGCAACTTTGCATGGTCGCAGCCCTCTCCCTGTGGGCTCTGGCTGGAGTCAGCCATCAAGGCTGGGCCTGAGGACAGTCCCAGGCATGAGCACAGGGCTGTGCTCAGACCACCCCACATGTGGTCACAGCCGATACATTGGGCTAGAACCCGCACCAACAGGAAGGTGGTCTTTGGGGAGGAAAATGCCTTTCAAGGTAAAATGTAAGTGAAGGTCACTCTGCCACAGCTTAAAATACTCTGTATGGGTGTATCTTCTAGTTGTGCTACTTTCCTGCTCAAGAACCTTCTCCCGCTTCTTATTCCCCATAAGAAAATCCAAACTCCCAAGCCTGGCATGAAGGCCCTCCACCAGCCACCAGCCCGGCCCGTCTCCCCACTCTGCCCTTCCCACTCTCCGTGCTACAGTCAGATTAGCCCGATGGCTGGCCCAGTTTCCCATGCCCTCTCCTCCACCCACCCAAGTCCTGCATCTTCTCTCTCTTACCTCTTGATTTGCTAGCCTTTCTAGACCATCATCCACATGCCCTTCCATGAGATTCGCTGCCATGGATTCTCATGCTTTTAATCTACGGGGGGATATTGTCTTTGAATAGAGGAGACCCAGGCTTTTGGGGTTTGTTTCTAAGGGTGTGGATCAACCATGCATCTGGAAAAACGATAGGCCAAGCCATCTCCCTTTGATCTCTCTGCTCCTCGGCTTCATTTATAGATGATGATGATGATGATGATGATGATGATGATGATGATGATTTATAGATGATGATGATTTATAGATGTTGATGATGATGATGATGATGATTTATAGATGATGATGATGTGGTGATGATGATGATGATGAAGAAAACTCAACAGTTCATAAGTTTGTGGGATGACGTATCTACCAGAGCAGCACCCTGCAATAGAGTCAGTGCCCAGTAATTGATAGCTGAGATTATCCATCATTATCAGGCCCTACATGTCAACTTCTCCCACCTCACACATGGGCTCCCAGTTTCCCACGCCCTCTCCCCCACGCACCCAGGCCCTATTTTTTCTGTACTCCTCTCCATTAAGTTTTTCTAGCTCTCACAGACTGACACAGTCTCTATTTCCTCCAAACCCATGTGTCATCTTGTCCATCACCATTTTGACCTGCTGTTTAAGTTCATGCAGATCTCTCTCTAGTTTCCCCAGTCAGGCTATAAATAGCACTGAACGCTTCATTTAGGAAAAAGAGTCTGGCTCTTTTTTTTTCATCATGGGCTCCTCCAAACCCAACCACCAATTTACAAGGACAGTGGCCAAGCCCCACACCTGCACCATGCTAAATCCTTGCTCACAGGGGCCGTGTGGAGGCGCGGTACAAAAGGAGGTGATGGGCTTTAGCATCAGGCAAGTTCCCCACACACCGAGGTAAGTCACGCACTTCACAGTTTCCAGTTTCTCTGGTGATTTCATCTTTCCGCCTAAGAAACTGTTTCTATCCCATCGCTGCCTCCGCTGAGGTTGGGTCCGCACCCCAGCCCGAGCACCTAAGTCATATTCCTGCCAGTGAAACGAGTAAAGCTTTGCCAGCTCCTGTCTGCAGAGCGCTATAGGACACCGTCATGGCTATTTGGTGGGGACGCCCTTTAATTGGTTCCAGCCTTATTTGGGTCTCAAATTCAGCATTTGTACCCTGCAGTCATACTTCTGCTTTTGTGTACAAGACCATGGAAGAATTTCAGGAGAAATGCAGGGCTTTCCCTCTGTATGTCTTGGGGTCTGACTAAAGAGATTAATGTCAGAAGATGCCAGTTTCTGACCAGCCCATGTTTTGTATTCCACGTTGGTATAAATAAACCCAATAAACCAAACAAAATGTCAAATATATTTAATTTTTTGCCACGTTGGAATGTTTGCTTTTGGTTTCCTAAACTATTTCTTAGGAGAAATAGAAAACCCTGGAATATGTTCTGGAAGTTTTGTAAGTACATACATTGCCAGGAAACTAATTTTCACTTATGTAAGAACGTCACTGGGCACATAGGGAAAAGAGCCTGAAACTGAAAAGGATTCAAGTTACTGGCTGGATTCAGATCCTAGGTCTGCCACTGGGGAGTTGTCTGTCTGATCCTGAGCGAGTTTCTTTCTTTTTCTTTTTTTAAAATGTTTGCTTGTTTGTTTGTTTAGAGAGCATGAGCAGGGGAGGGGTAGAGGGAGAGAAAGGGAGGGGGCTAGAGAATCCCACGCAGGGCCTGACCCCACAATCACAAGATTACGACCTGAACAGACATCAAGAGTCAAACCTGAGCATGTTTCTTGACTGCTCTGTGCCTCAGTTTCCTCCTCTGTTCAATGAGGATTAAAATTGTACTTATCTAGGGGCGCCTGGGTGGCTCAGTCGGTTAAGCGTCCAACTTTGGCTCAGGTCATGATCTCGTGGTTTGTGAGTTCGAGCCCCGCATCGGGCTCTGAGCTGTCAACCCGACAGCTGCTTCAGATTCTGTGTCTCCCTCTCTCTCTGCCCCTCCCCCACTTCCGCTATGTCTCTCTCTCTCTCAAAACTAAATAAACATTTTTTTAAATGTTTATAAAAAATTGTACTTATCTAAAGGAGACAGAATTAAATGAGCTCCCACATGCAAACTGTTTAGTACAGCTCTTGGCACATAAAGGAACAAAACGTTAACTGTTGCTTTTACTACTTGACTGCAATGAATTCCTGTACTCTCTGAAGTGGCTTTGCTCTCCAGGTGTCCATCTCCATGGCCAGCACCTGCCCACCCACATGTATGCTACTTCCTGTCTCCTGTTTAAAGGGAAGAGTAGGCTCAGCTCAGGAGACATTACCCAAACCCATTCCCCAGAAAAGTAGAAATACACATCGGTCACATCATTTTCTTCAGAGGCATAGACTTTATCAGCCTTTGGGCTTTTTAACCAGATCTTAACTTTTGTTCCTTTGACAGAGAGCAACCTCCATCCTGAGAGAGTCCCTGGAAGCCAAAGTGGAAGTATTCGGTGATCTCAGTCCGGAGGTGGCAGAGACATACCGGCTGTTAGGTGGGGCCGACCTGGCACAGGGGAACCAGAGTGGGGCGCACAAGAAACTAAAGAAGGTAAAGCTGGAGCCAATACTAACGCGGAGAAAACACTCTGCACGGGTCACTCTCTCTCCCTCCGCCATGTTGTTTGTGAATGAAACTTTATCGGTGGCTTATTTAGGTAAAATGACATCACTTTTGCAGTTGATCCAAGCCAACACTTTTTGGGTCAACAATATAGTAATCCTCTTATACACGTATGTTTGTTTTTAAATGAATTATCAATTATTTTTTGCCGTGCAAATATTTTAAATTCCTTACATAGGGTAATTTATCAATCTTTTATTATACTCTTTCTGTACACTCAGTTTATGGAGGAATTCATGAATTCTTGTGTGTGTTCTTCTAGTACTTGTATGTTTGTTTCTTTTTAAATTTGGGGTTTGTGTGGAAGGTGTAAGGTAAGGATCTAATGTTATCTTTTTTCAAATGGCTATCCAGTTGTCCAGCACCATTTTATTAAAAAGCCCATTTATACACTCCAGTGATTTGAGATGACATCTTCAGCAGGTACTATACCTGTATACATATTTAAGTATATTTCTGGATTCCTATTCTCCTCTGTGTTTTGTGTATTCAAATTCCAGTGCCTCATTGGTCTTAATTATGGAGATTTCATAGCATGATTTAATAGCAGGTAGCACTGGACTCCCCTCATGGCTTTTTATCTCCCTAGAATATCATGTTTTCTAGACGTTTTTTCATATTTATTTTTCCATCTGAATTTTAGTATCAACTGGTCTAGCTCTGTAAGAAGTTTCATGGCATTTTTTGGAGGAGACTGTTATTTATAAATGAACTTCAGGAGGACTGACGTCTGTATGATGTAGAGTCGTTCTACCCAAGAACAAGGGATGTCTTTATATTTGTTCACGTCTACTTGTGTACCATTCAGGCACATTTTAAAGGGTTCCTTATCTAAGTTTTGCACATTTCTTATTAAGTCAATTGCTAAGCATTTCCTGTCCTTAATGCTGTTGTAAAGGGAGTTTTATCCAGTATTATGTTTTTTAACTGTTTGTGTATGTGTGTATGTACATGCAATCTATTGGTCTCTCTATGGTATTTTATATTCTGCCAGCTCACTTCATTCTTTTCTTGCTTGAGTTAATTTGAATATTGGTTCTGTCAGGTTTTTCAGTTGTACCATTACATCATCTGCAAATAGTTTTACTTTCAGTTTTCTAATTCTTATGCCTCTAATTGATTTCTCTTAACTGATTGCATTGGCTCATACCCACGATACAATAATAAGTAAGAGTAGAGATAATAGGCATCCTTTCTTGTTCCTGATGTTAGTGCAAATGCCTCTAGTGATTCTTCATAGAAGAGGTGCTGGCTTTGGACTAAGGTTTATATATTTTATCATGGTAAAGAAGGATCCATCAATTTCTATTTTCATTAGTGTTCTTTTTTATTAGAAATAAGTGCTGGATTTTATCAAAGTCTTCTTCAGCATCAGTGGAAATAAATAATCATATGATTCTTGTTAGAACACTTAATATGGTGTATTTTATTATAATAGTGAACCAACCTTACATTCCTGGAATAAATCCCCTTGGTCACATTGAACTATTTCCTCAGTGCAATGTTGATTTTGTTTGTTAACATCTATTTTAGGATGTTTTGCACTTATTGGTAAGAGATATTTGTTTAAGTAACAATGTTATATTTGCTTCATAAAAATAATTTGGAAGTTTACCTTTATTTTCTATGCCTAAAGGAATTTACACAACATTAAAATGAGTCTTTGTAGCTTTGTACCTCCTGTGAAATTCTTTAGGCCTTGTGCTTTTTTTGGGTGGCAGGGAATTCTTCTCTATTTCTCTATAAAAATTACTCTGTTGGAGCTCCAATTAAGTCATTTTAGTAAACTGCATGTTATCTATTTCATTGTCATTTTCAGATTGATTGGCATAGAGATTTGCAAAGTAATCTCATGAAATTTTAAAATTTCTACTTTTTTAGTAGTTATCTTCCCATTGTCATTTCTTAGTTTTATATTTGGATTTCCTCACCTGTTCATTGACTGAGTTAGTCAGTGGTTTGTATCTTCTGTTAGTTTTTCAAACTCCATAGGTCACTTCCCTTCCTATTCTGTTTCACTGGTTTCTGATTTTTATCTTTATTATTTATTTTCTTGTAACTTATTCTGTTGGAGTTTCTCCTATCTTTTTGAATTGGAAATTGAATTTGTTTACATTATATATATATATACATATATATATACACACTTTTTATATATGTATGTATGTGTGTGTATATATATATATATATATATATAGTGTTTTTACACTATGAATTTTCCTTATTTCTTTAAGTGTATCTCCTTTGCCATGTTGTGTTTTCATTATATTAACTAGTTTTAAAATGGGGGAAACTGGGGCCCTCCAAGTAACATAACTGACCAAACCAAAAGAATTAACTTTAGTTTTGAGTAGGCTACCTTGCACATTGAGCCTTTATCTCTTATGACTCTTCTGAATTGGTTGCAGAAGGCATCAGATTTGGTAACGTGTGGTGTCTATTTTTTAAGAAGATGATACATCTGTCTATTGTCATTTTGTCAACAGTAGTTCCTGGTCACCTTCTAGAAGCTAATAGCTGTGCTGGGCAGACCTGGGGTAAAACAGTGACCAAGACACGTATGCTTCTAGTCTTTGGGAGACTTTCCAGTCTAACCAGGGAGATATATTAAACTAACCCTTTCAGCTAATTTAAACATCATACGTGTGCCAAAGGTGTTATTGAGGGAAGAGTGAGAAGGACCCCAAGAGTGGCAGCTGCCCTGAGTTTCTCCCTCCCCTACTTCTAACTTAATGCCTACTGACTGACTGTTCTATTCCTGGCACAGTATTAAACAATTTACGTACATTAACTTACGTAAGCCCTATAGCAACCTGAAGAGTTGGATACTTCTGCTCTGTTTTTTACAAAGAGAGAAACTGAGGCCAAAAGAGTGTCTCAGCTTTGATTGCAAAGTCAGGAGTTGTTGGAGTGGGGCTTTGTTAGACCGGGCAGTATGGACCATGTGGTCTATCCGATCTCAATCTTGGGCTTTCTCAGTAAGGTTTTGTCTGAACAAGAGCTTCCTATGCTTAAAAACATTTGGAAACCAGTGGCTCCTGGGGAGAATGCCAAGATCCGGAATCCTTGGATTGCTACTGACAGCAAACGGTCAAACTAGCTCAAGTGTAAAGGGCTGTCTAGTGTCTTGTGGTTTCCAAGGAAGGGCCACTAGGCAGATGATTCGCACCGCAGGGTGCAGCTGAGCCTCAGGAAGACGTTCCCAGGTTCTCTCTGCCCTGGACTCCTGTCTGCTTCTCTCCGCACTTCCTCTTCCTCCTCCTCTGTCATGGCAGCATCTCCCCTCAAGATGGAGATCATGGCTGCCGTCCCTACAGGGTTTTACTTCCTACCCCTGAGCCGTTTCTCAGTCACAGCTTGAAAGATCCCCAAGAAAGGGCTGTAGACCTGGCTTGAATCCGGTGTTCACCCTGGATCAGTCAGCGGAGGCCAGGGACGTGCTAGGTATAAGAACACGGTGCCCTCAAGGCAACTGGGTGGCCCCTACTGGAGATGGTGCAGGAAACAGAACACGACCCCAAGTTTTGAAGCACGTGCAGTGAGTACAGTAGGCAGGTGGTAGTCTTCCTTGAAAGCACCCCAGGCCAGGGAGGGAGTTACAGGTTGTGAATCCCCAGCTGTGGTATTACATGCGAAGTTCTCCAGGTCCACATTGGGACCTATGGGAGGGAAGGGCATGGGGAAGGTGTCCAGGTAAGCAGTCCTGAAAAAGAGGGTCGTCAAGCAGAGTCAGGAATTCCCAGGTTGAAAATGGGGTGGAAGAAGAGGCTCAGGGGTGAGAGAGCGAAGCCTGTTTAAGAAGCAAAACATTGGGGCCAACTGTCTGTCAGAAGAGTGGCTGGGAAAGACGTGAGGACAGGTCCCCGCAGCCATGTTTGTAGGTTAAGGGTCTGAGACTTGATCCTTTAAGCAGGGGTTTAGGGGAGCCTCAGTCAGTTAAGCATCTGACTTTGGCTTGGGTCATGATCTCACAGTTAATGAGTTGGAGCCCTGCATTGCACTCAGTGCTGACAGCTCAGAACATGCTTTGGATTCTGTGTCCCCCTCTCTCTGCCTCCCTCTCTCTCTCTCTCTCGATCTCTCCTTCTCTCTCTTTTTAAAGCAGGAGTCCCAAACAATAGCCAGTTCACTGCCTGTGTTTATTTCATTACAGTTAAGGACATAGGCCAAGTTAAAAATGGTTTTTGCAGATAGTCGTTAAACCTGTAATCATTGTACAGTTGATCATAAATTGATCGGATGGTAGGAGAACACTAACGGAACCCCAACTAAGTGAAATTTTATCTGCACCAAAAAGGAAGTCTGTTCCTCTCATGAGTAAAACTAGATTACAAAAAAAAAACCTCCTCATAATTCCATTCATAAAACAAATTTGAGGAAGTTTGCACTCCCTCCCCTTACGTTAAGTGCCTACACAGTAGCCTCAATTTTTGTCTCTTGGCCTGCAAAGCCCACAATATTTACCACTGGATCTTTGCAGACAAAGTTTTCTGAACCTTGCTCTAAGCAACTGGGAGCCATGAAGGGAATTTTAAGCAGAGCACCATAGGTCTATATTTGTTCTTTGGATTTTGGGGCACCTGGGTTGCTCAGTCGGTTAAGTGTCTGACTTTGGCTCAGGTCATGGTCTCATGGTTTATGAGTTCGAGCCCCATGTCATGCTCTGTGCTGACAGCTCAGAGCCTGGAGCTCACTTTGGATTCTGTCTCTCTCTCTGTCTCTCTGGACTCTCTCCTGTTCATGCTCGCTCTCTCTCTCTCTCTCTCTCTCTCTCTCAGATATATATAACATTTAAAAAAAAATCAGGAGCACCAGGCTAGCTCAGTCCATGGAGCATGCGACTCTTGATCTTGGGGTTGTAAGTTCAAGCCCCACGTTGGGTGTGGAGATTGCTTAAAGTAAAATCTTTAGGGGCTCCTGGGTGGCTC